TGCAGCAAAACAAAACGGACAGAGAGAAAGAGGACAGAGGACAGAGGGCTGGCAGATGGAGTTGGAGGGAAGAGGGCAGGGGAAGGAAAGGAGGAGGGGTGGGGTGGAGATATGGAAGAGAGGGTTACGGGGGTCACGGCTCTCTGAGCGTCGCCAGCTGGACCCACCTGAGAGGAGGCTGCAGAGGGCAGGATTTTACTTAGAGTGAAGGAGAAGCTGGGAGACAAGTGTATAGACTGTACAGAGGAAAACAGTAAAAATTCCAAAGTATGCAGGATTGTTTTGGTCATGTTCACCATATTGGCCCCTTTTGAAGTCATGCAAATCTTCTTGAGCTACTCGAGTGTTTACTTTGCTATTTATGCGCTTGAATCTGGAGCAAGTCAGAACAAGCTATTCGTGGGTCTTTGTCTTTTTCAAGTATATTTGGTTACTGGCGGTCACAGGGGATCAACCTTCAGACACTTCTGAGCAGTGCCTGAATTGGACCCAAAAAGGTGACAATACCCTAATTCAGCACAACCCTAAACATAACATACCCCTATTCTTTGGGCGTTTATATATCCTTTTAAACAAAGATATTTTCAGTGCTGTTTGCTTAGCATTAAGCTAGCTACAGTTGTTTAGGAGTATGTTATCAGTGTTGCTGTACCCAGGGTTTTAGAAATACTGAGGGGTTACCAGAGGGGTTTTGGGGCATTCATCAAAGCATCAAAATTGTTCTTTTTGGGCAGTTATTTCACGACTGTTGTACCCCTTGGAAAAAGTACCGCAGACCTCAGTGGTGGGTACAGCCATTCTCACGACGGGTGGTAGAAGTAAGGTACTCAGTACTGGTGAGTACTGGTCCATTTCAGGCACTGCTTCTAACACCAGGACCGACAGTGGAGGCTCAAAAAGGAGGTGCAGTGAATGACTGGGAGTCGAGAAAGCTGGGTGTGAAGGTGGAAAGGCGAGAGGAAGGCAAACAGGAAGGTGTTTGTTAGAAAGCGATTAGAAAAGAAAATAAAGAGAAGGAAGGGGAAACAAGTATTGAGATCGAGAGAAGAGGTGGGGGAGAGGATAAACAAAGGAGGAGAGAGCAAGAAAGAAAAGGTGAAAAGAGGGGAGGTATAAAAAGGCAAGGATGTAGAAAGTACATAACTTGTAAGAAAGTTGAATGACGTAACTGAAGAGAAAAGTAGGAAACAAAACAGCAGAATAGCAAAAGCACAAGTAAGACAGAAGTGAACAGGGATGAAAAATGGAGGAGCAAGTCAAGAGAGAGAGGGGAAAAAAGGAGAAATAGACTCACAGATAGAGTGGCAGACAAGATGAGAGGTAAAATGAGGCAAAAGGGATTCAAATAGAAGGAGAGCGATGGGTGGAGGTCTATTAGCAGGAAGTTTGTGCGTAAGTGTTGGCCTGGAGAGATGGAATCTGGTGTGGTGTGTTTGTTCTGGCTTAGCAATCGCCCTTAGCAGGCCCCTTTACCGGGCACTGGGAGAGAGGGATGCAGAGGAATAAGTGAAAGAGAAGAAGGAGAGATTAGAAATGAAGAAAGAACGGCTCAATGAGCAGTGTGAACATCAGCCCAGGTAAAGCCTGATCGCTGCTGCGTTCAGAAATACAAGTAGTGAAGGGAACACACAGTCAAAATTGGGGAACTGTAGTCATAACAACTGGAGGTTTGAAACAATGACTGTGTGGTGGACTTCTTCCAGGGCTGGCTGAGTGAGGAGAAACTGGAACCAGTGGATGAATCCAGAAGGTTTTGATTTTTCTTGTTAGAAGCTGTTTGAATTGCTGCATTTTCCAACAATACCACCAGATTTCATTATGAGTTTTGTGGCATGGCTTTCATTGAATGGTGCGCACACCAAGACCCACACAGCAAGAATAAGGCATTTGCTGACCCGGTGATACACAGTACTTGCCAAACCTCCCAGTTCTTCCAATTTACATTTTAGGCCTTAAAGTACAATTTTACACATTGATTGATAAATGGCTTCAGACTTTGGTTCCAGACATTCTTTAACATGCATACAGTATATTTTATGTTCACATTAAATAATTAAATGTCATAGCAATGTTATTTGGAGGTACTGTACTGCCTTTTCATAGTTATACATCACACCACTAGAATGCACAGCGTTGGCGACGGTATAATTCCTGGCTTGATATTAAAGCTTCAGGAAAAGAATCATTGCTGCATGTCTGATAAAAACACTTGCTGGAACGTCTGTGTACGTTTACAGATCCTAAACTCAATTATATTTTGCCACGCAGCTACACTGGAAATTGGCATGAAAAACTACAGGAAGAAACTGCTACTGCTGAAAGTTGATCCAATTTTATTACTGAAATATCTGCATTTTAAGGTCAGACTATATCTGTGTTAATGAGAACTGGAAAAGTGCATGCGACAATCTACAGTACATGGATGCAGGCACACATAAACAAATAGGTAGATACACTAACAAAAATGTATCCTGGGAAAGGAGAACAGAGTTTTGTGAGAATTCCCGGGAGATACCAAGTCTCAAATCCTGGCCTTTAACCATACACTCAGCTGTACAGTCTCTGCAAAAATATCATTGTCCTTCGAGACACCAAGCTGCCCTGCCCAAAAGATTTGGCTACTTGCCTGAAATACAAAGTGAAAGTAGAAAGTTTAAAAGACAAAGAAAGTCTTTTTCTGGGAATAGCCTGAAAAACTTCAGAAGAGAAAAAGAAGCATCATTCCCTTTTAATGAGAGTCAAAACGTAAAGAGAGGGAAAGACGTATGTGAATGGGACAGGAAGGAGGTAATTGCTCGCTTGCCATGGTAGTTTGAAATTTAGAGTTGTGGAGCAGAACGATAAAAGGAGGGTCCTGCATGTAAAAGGCCCAAAAATCTGGGCCAACCCTGCAATATTTAAAGAGCACTGACCTGATTGAAAGACACATTTTTATACTAGTAGATGAGTTTCATATGTCGTATTGGTTCACATGTGCCGATTCAAGAGAAACCTTAAATACCATGAAACTGATCTTTGTTAGCCAGAGGGACTTAAGAGGAATTAGAGCCTGACCCAGCCCAAACTGGATCTGGTCAGGAATTGGGTTCAGACTGGGAATAAAAAAAGAACCACAACACAGGATAAGATTTGAGAGTAATTTCCCTACGGAGATGGAAAAAAGCATTAATTCTCAGAGTGAGTCATACAGGACATTGTCCAGTTAGTCATTTGATAGCCGATGTTCTACCTGAACCTGTTTCCTGCGACTTCTGTCAAACACGGCAAGTCTCGATTTAGCTCATTATCTGTTCCTCCGCCTTCCTGTTGATGTATGTTGTTACGCACAAGCAACACCAGAAGACTGAGCTTGATGCTAAAGAAAGAAGGGAAGAAAGTTAGTTTAACACAAACTGTACAACACACACACACACACGCAGACTGTGGTGACACACCCCCAAGGTTCAGGGCCTGTGTGACTTCCCTTTTGTGCACAATGAGATATACACAAGCCCTTGCCCTTTTCCTGTATCCAAATAAACAGTCCAAAAAGGGCTTTGTAGCGGGAACACTGCTTTGTGTGTGTGTGTGTAGGTGCACGTGTGTGTGTCCACGTGTTACGTAAGCATGACTGTGGCCCTCAGCCCCCTTCATTAGGGCCGCTGTTCAGCTCCTGCTTCCTTTGGTCGCAGTTCATTGACCTGTAGGCCCATAACAGACATGGGAATTGGATGTGTCACTCTGTATGTGTGTGTTTCTGTCTCAGTGCTCCTCCAGCTGTGCGTCTGGCTTCACATGTGCACATACTTTACATTTTGTAAACACGCTCTCTAACATCAGCTGTACTTGTATTTACTTGGCACTTAAGAGCATCTAAGTAGTTTTACAGACAGTGCTTATGATCTATTCATCATCGTGTACTGTCGTTTTTAAAATGTCGTTCTCTCTGTATTCCTCCCCCAGTCTGGCCTCAACTAGCTGCACTGTTGAGCGGTCTGATAGTGGTGAAACACAATCTTAATCTTAGATGGGCAGCATTCCCAGCAGGAGTTGACAAATTGAGATACAGGGTTAAGATGTCATGACTTTTTGGCAATTATTCTTGCGCAATATAGCTAGGCAATTGATGGCCCAAAATTCCTTTTGTAGATAATTATGACATTATTCTTGGTCCTTGTTTCAGGGACAAAAATGAAAGCCTACAGTTCTTCAGTAGCTGTCCAGTGATGTAAATATGCTACTTATTTACCAGACTTTTTAGGATTTCTTTTGTAGATATTTGAATCTTAATATTATATCTAAATATGATATATCTTAGTATAAGTATGATATTTTAGTAATAATACCTTTATTTGCTTTCTTGCCAATTAAATTAAATATGGAGCCAGGAGACAGCTAACATTAGCTTAGCCCATAAAGAGTGGAGGTACACCTACCAGAACCTCTAAAGCTCACTAATACATTGCACTACATTATATATCTCTTTTGTTTAACCTTTTACCAAAACTGAAATGTAAAAATGACGAGCTGTGGTTAGTTGCTGGAACTTTTCCTTCCCTAAGCTAGCCCTCTCGTGACAAGCTAACGCTACTGTGAGGTAGTTGCATTTTTAAAAGTCAACAAACAGCTTTGCCTTAATCCACTATATTTCATTATCTGTGGTGCCGAATGCTAACGTTAGCAAATATAACAGCCTAGTTAACTGAGGCTAACCCTCTCCCAGCTCATAAGGAGACAGAAATAAGAGTGGTATCACACTTTTCATCAAACCCTCGGCAAGAAAGCAAATCAGCGTATTTTCTACAAACTACTCCTTTAAGGTGGACTTCAGGTTCAATAGTGAGTCAGACTTTTTTTGCTGATTTTTCCATCTCTATCTTTTTGTCTGAGGAAGCATTTGCTCTTAATCATCTCGCAACTCTGACTCCTTCCTTCTGTCCTGAAGCAGAAAGGATGGATTTGTTTCCCCGCCTGTGTTGGAACCAGTGTTGCATTGACATGTGTCTGTCTTTATGTTCCAGGTGACCTCTGCCTGCATCCCAGCTCCCTCCAATGATCTGGTAAGTCTCTTTCACACACCCATTTCTTTTCCTTAAGAGCATTCTGTGTAGAAGACTGGTTTTCCCTCTTTGTCTAGCCTTAGTTACAAGGCATGGTTTCCCAAAACCACCGTATGGTTTCCTACTGCTGAATTCCTTTTGGGAAGCCGAGCCCTCAACCCAGTTTGAGCTCGGTTCATTCCTGGAGCGCTGCAGTGTGGAGGCAAAAAAAAGTTGATGTTGCTACAGGAAGTAGTGATGTTTATCCATTAGAGAGTCTGTTTGTTTAATTAACTCTCCTTTCCTTCCTCTATATCCCCTCCTCTTCTCTCCCCCTTCTCTCCTCCTTCTTCACCTCCTTTCAACCTCCTCCCTTTACCCTACTTCCTCTTACCATCCTCCTCTTCACACCCTTCTCTCCTCTGTTCTCCTTTATCCTGTCACCGCTCCTTCATTGCATCCAGCAGCGTAGAGGGACCGCTCCTTCTCGACACACCCAGCACCTGGTGAGCACACTCCCATCCTCTCTCCCTGTCCTCCTCACCCGCTTCAGAATCTTCCCTTGTCTTTCCCCCCATGTCCCTAGAGTAATGCTATCTATCTTGGAATTTTCCAAACCTGCCAGGGTTAAACCGTTTGTGGCTTCATTTAACTTGATTTAGTACATACTAAACAAACCAAAGGGAGAGCAATGCCAGATACAGCAGAGGATGTACAGCAGTTGTAAAAGCTGCTGTATTCTTTACACGCAATAATAGGAAAGCGTCAGGCAGGTTTCTTCTGAGGGTTGTGCTAAGGAAGGCCATGAAAAGTGTCCTCCTCTTGGGAACTGAATGTGTTTTCATGGCAGTCAGCCCATCAGATTTGATAGATGTGTTGTCAAAGTGGAAGATCTGGTCTGATTGTGGCACTAGAGGAAAGGTCAGGATTTCTTCTGCTTCCAAAGGTATATGATAGAAACAGTTTGGGAACCCCAGGTGGTGCTGGGGGATAGGTCAGGTGTGGACTGTGCTGTACAGATGGATAAGGTCTGTCCCAGTAGCCACACTTGTGTAAGCACTGAAGTCAGCTAGTTTGTCCCAATCTGAAAAATAGCAACCGCTGGAACACCTAAGCCACTCTTCAGAGTCAAGTGTATCCCACTGATTCCCACTGCGCCACACCAATTGAATTGTAGGCTGTAATACACCTTTAGCTTTAAAGGTCCAGTGTG